AATACCTAGGTAGACACAGAGGCTAATACTTTTACGATTTCTAGGATATCCGTACTACGTAGGCATTCTCACGCATCACCACCGTTTTACGATAATAGAGGCTGCAAAACCGACAAGTCGAGTTTGTAACGTAAACTCCGTGTCTTGCCTTGTGTAATGATCTATCTAATATAATATCGATAATGTAAATATAAAGCAGTGAGTAATGTAAAATCGTATAATTGCATATTGTAACAATCTGGATATATATATAAATCGTATTTTTTATTGATAATGTTGTAAAATGTAAAAAGTATCCAAGTAATCATCGAATGTAAAATAACCATCAAATTGGACGCCGAAATATCTTACAAGATACTAATAAAGATCGAAATATAAAGGAATTATTAATAATAATTTGTGGAATATAAAAAAGTGAAGAAAATTCCTTATACACGTCCTTTTTAAGCTCTCTGTTATTTATATGATCCGTCCTAGTTCGTCTATGATTATCCGTCAGTAGAAAGTATTTACTTCTAGTAGACCGTCGTGTTATAGTTCTGAAGGCACTGTTCAAAAGTTGACTATTTTTTTTATATTTTTTTTTTTTGTTTTTTTTGTTTTTTTTTTTTTTTTGTTTTTTTGAAATAACAAGTCTTCAAAACATTTTCAAACGATCCGACATGGAAAATCGTTACAAACATCGACGCAATTTTCACATGCCTCGCTTGAACTATATCACAAAACTCAAAATAGAGTAGTTTCAACTTGACAGCCAGTGCCAATGCCAATGCCATATTTGTCGGGTCTGTGATCGGTTAGGAATATCATGAGCTAGCAAATCGATGGTCAGAATTCAGGCTTATGATACGCAATGGCCGGTGCGTTCCATTAATTATGTATCAATATCGTATCATTATATTTATACAAACGCTTATTAATTCAGAGGCACATTGCTAAGGGTTTTGGTTCTTAAAAGTTGCTCCCTACATTAATGAACTTATGACAATCTAGCTATTATAATTATTCAGTACGACAGCGATTTGGCATATAATGTGGAAACTGTACAAAGATTCTGAGAATATAATAATATTCAAACTATTGCTCTGTACAAATAAAAGTAGAATATGGCTAAAAAGGCCGATATTATGAACAAATTTTAATATTTTTAAGATGTTTTGCAAATATTACTTTGAGCCCATAAGAGGAAAAAAGAGAATGAAATATAGAATTTGTCATGTGCATAAAAATAATAACAAAACTTCTATTATATAATACAATTTTTCTACTGAATTTCCTTACCTAGGCAGGAAAACTTTGGCTACTGCTACATACTATTTGTACCTCGGCAGAACCACCGACTTTATGCTGCTAAGAACACTGATTGCGCATCTAGAATCAAAAGAATTGCACGCAGCACACACAGTATCTAAACCAGAAACAGATCAATTACATACTCAGGAAGACCTTAACAGTAGTATATATGCTCACGCTTTAATAAACCTGAATTCTACGCGCAACGATCATAATATCAATTAAGCATTCACTATACTCAGAGACTCTCCCACCTCGGAATGTTTAAATGGTTTTTCATTTATTCATTCATACATATACTGAACCACTTGTTGTTTATGTTCATAATTTACTTAAAAGCTCTTAGCTTTTAGAACAATACGTTCGCAATACTGCTCTGAGATGCGAATGCTCTACAGAATGTACACAGTAGACAGCAGAAGCGTCTACACCACAGTGTTCACATTTATTTCAATACGAAATATTTTTCAAACTAGGGAACCAGGCTGATGCAATGGCAGGCGCATGATATATAAAAGTTAATTTTTTAACATACAAAAACGGATGTATTTTACAAAACGTGGAAGAACATTCCCTGAATAGGTAATCACGCGATAATTCTGTTCTCCAAATTACATCTTTTATAACAACAAAAAAAGTTTTTTCAAGCTAAGATTCCAAATAATGTATCATATTTTTGAAAATTTGATGCTCCGTCAAAGTACCAGCCTGTGTCCATCAGCATGAAGAAATCCGTCATGTAATTCCGTAACGTCTAGACGCAAATACCACCTTCCTGTATCCAAACAAATGGAACACTAGGTTAGATCACAAAAAGTACGGTGTAATGGTTACAGATGGAATTACTCTTTCAGTATCAGGCACTGCCTCAAATAGCACTGAATTTCTTTGATCGACAGTTGTGAACTGTAAAATACTAGCTACGTTACCGCAACGATAACAATAATTTGGAGCTGACCATACTGTTACAAGCTTATCATTAAACATGTACTTATAACCTGCAAAAAACACAGAAACATGTAAAATATTGCTGTGAAATTCTCCTTGTACATTTTACGCAAAATTAAATAAATTTTGTATAATGTATGTAATAATATATACCTTCGTGAACTAATTGATGAGCTCTACAAATAAGTTTAAGATCGTTAATATTCATAAATTCATATGTTACTGTACTTCCAAATAACCAACCAGCTCCACGTGGACTAACAGTCCACGAATCAACATCTTCTGGATCGGACCAAACTAGATCACAAAAAGCACCTAAGACGAAAATATAAATGAATTGGTTATAATAAACATAAGGTAAGTATAATATGATACAAAGACAATAGCACTAAGAAATAATAAAAATACCTTTATGTGGAATTTCTTGGTTTCTTTCAATCATCCTAATTTGATCTAATGTTTTAATGACTGGAGACAATCCACCATGTACACAAAGTACTTGATCGTCAATTAACTAAATAAAAATATCCACACTTTTATTAAACATGTTAAAACAGTATTAAATTCATTTATTATTTACAAATACTAACAGCAGCAACTGCAAGTAGGTCAAACACTTTACAGCAGTATTTCCATGCATTAGCATTGCCATATTTGTTTTGACATTCATCTGCATAAAACATAATAACAAACTTAATTACCATAATTATCAAAGAATACAAAGTAATAAGTCGGTATTAAATATTTTTTTAAATAGGATAACACCATAGATATATGATATTTCTATAATAAAATATATAGTATATTTACCATAAAAACCATAAACATGAGTAATTTGTCTGGATTCATGATTTCCTCGAAGTAATGTTATTCTATCAGACCATTTAGCTTTAAGTGTGAGTAGGCGAGTAAACGTTTCTACACTGTAATATCCCCTATCTACAAAATCTCCCATAAATATATAATTTGTCTCAGGCACAGCACCTCCATTACGGAATAATTCTTCTAGATCGTAAAACTGAAACAAAATAAATATTAATAGCGATTAATTTACGTAAAGGCAATTCGTACTTGCGTTATCGAAATAGTTTTCGTTATCTCAAAAGACATCGATATCGTGTGTTGAGGTTAGAATAAAACTATGAAACTTACCTGACCGTGAATATCTCCACACACAGTTACCGGAGTGGATACTGGTTGAATATTAGATTCCTCTAATAGTATGTCACATACCATGTCACAAAGTTTCTAAACAAAAATAACTTTATTATTAAGACGTACAGAAATTTTAAGTAACCTATGAATATGCGTTTAACATCGTGTCACATATACTGATAAAATATAATAATTGATTTTATAATAAATAGAATTTTCTATATATTGTTTACCTTGAGGTCATTTTCGGGTAGATATTTGCATTCTTTAGCAAGTTCCATCCATTTATCGATGTCTGACATTTTGGACTCGTATCGCAGGAAAATACTGATCGCGCCCTCACTTACATATGTATGCACTGAATTTGCAGTTGATTTATATTTTTAAATGTTGTTTTAACGAATTAATTTCAATTAAGTTTTCGATTTTTATTCATTTTATTCATAAGGCTTTAGACATTTTATTTAACAATGAATTACTCCTCATCGCGTTAGACGCGAACTTAATTAACCTACTGTGAAGCAAGATTAAAAAGGACGAATTTTATTCTCTCCAATCCTTTCATCTTATTGGTTCTAAATTATCATTTAAAAAAATGAAAATATACTTGAAATTGGAAACCTTTTAATGTAAAATATATTGAAATACCTTTTCACTCGTTACTAATGATACTGATAAATATAAACGTGTCATGTCACAGTATAGTTGCTATTTAACGATTTTAAAGTAGATGTTACTTTTAGGAACACTTGGCATATCACCCAATAGTACTGTTTAAACCCTAGTAATTTTTTGTTTCACCCTTGTACCTACGTTTAAAAAACGTTCGGAAGGTTATTTAATAATTTTATTACGCAAACTCGAAAGAAAATTTAAATTTATACTACTTCGATTACAATTTATAAAATTGTATAGTTTATGAATATTGTGAATATTATAAAATATTTGACGAAATTTTATTTATTAAAGAATAATTATAATTAAAAGAATACAAAACTTTTTAATTTTTTAAAAATATTAAAATTATATATTATACTCTTAATTTAGATTGATCTAGATTACATAGAACAATGCCTAAATAATGACGATATAATACTGATATTAAAAAATCAATCGTTACGGCGGCTATCAGTTTTTTTAATCGAAGTTGAAATAATGTATTATATTTTCTATAGAAATATATATTTACAATAATATATTAATTTTCACAAATGTTCGTTAATTGTAATAATTATTTATAGGTTAAATATTTGACAATGACACTATCAGCTTTGCAAGTATAATAACCAGAATCCAGTATTCTCATTGGTTGCCGTTTATTTCCTTAACGATTACAAGTATTCCGTGCCAATAAAATTATTTGCCGCGTAATATTCAAAATCAATAAAAAGATTCGGCAAGAAAATGATTGTTTATCATGACAGAATTGATAAATGACAAAAGGTGTAATTTCAACTTCCTTCGATAGCAAATCACCGTGGAACGTGGAAAAAGGTCAGCAGCAGGCGGACGATATGGATTTTATCTCGCGACCAAAAGTGGGTCACACGAAAGCGCCTGTGCGAACGCTTCGATTATCGATTGAAGCGTTACGTGCCTTGAGTTCGTACGCTGGATCTCATTTATGTGAACGCAGTGACTGTGGATGTTCGTGGTGTGACTTTCTCGCAGTAGGCCAGTGCCTGACATCTTTCATTTGTGGTCTGTGCGCGATCGCGAGTTTTGGAAAAATGCGATGAAATTCAATGTATAGCGACGTGCCTTCGCGAAATCGGCCATTTTGGTAGTGCGTGTTTCGCGAAAACGGATAGGATCACTTCTGGCAGCTACCCTCGACGGTTGTGTGTGGAAGTGGTGGCAGCTCGGTGTCGCCCACAGGACACAGCTGTAAAACTGAAAACGATCGTGTTCTTGGGCTAGTGAGCAAACAGCCTAAACAAAATGTCAGGAAATACGGGTATGGAACAATTAATCCCAATCGTGAACAAGCTGCAAGATGCATTCACACAACTTGGGGTGCACATGCAACTTGATCTCCCACAGATCGCAGTGGTGGGTGGTCAGAGTGCAGGAAAAAGTTCTGTTCTTGAAAACTTTGTTGGAAGGTAAGTATCTAATGTCCTGTTATTTTCTCATTTTTCATTTTTACAATACTTTCTGATATGTTTTACGAATCAGGAGAATAATCAAACGTTTGGTTAAAGGCGTGGCGAACTACGCCACATTATAATTTTAATATCCGTCATAGATCATTTTAATTTGACTATCCCTCTTTTCTATACCCCTTTAGGTTAACTATTTTAATCTATCGATCGTGACATCAAAATCAACTATATCTTTATGATTTGAGGTCGCCTACACAGTGACCTGTCAAACGGTTATTCTTTCCCGTTGCTGTAATATTTAACCTCCTACTGAATTACTCGATGTGTACACATGTAATGATGAAAATTATTAATTTAATTGTTCTCAGTTTAGGTCGCTTACTGTTACTTTTTATTAACGTGGTATTTTTCGAAGACTATGAAAGTGTATGTTAATACATTATGAATGAAAATATTAACAAATTTTCTTACTACATCAATGTAATAAGCATTTTTTATATATTATATCTTATGTATGACTTTATTTTTGTAGAATCTGTGTTAAAATAATATAAGTAACTATAATTGAGTTATATAATAAAGACAAATAATAAATATCATTGAATATATAATTGTAATACTGTTATAAGATATGTCATTTCCTAAATTGTACATACTTCCAAGTTTTGATATTTAAAAAAAATATATCTATTTAATATTTTTATTTATTCTTAATGTTATTTTAATGTATTTTTTTTTTAGTACATATGAAATTTATATTATCATGTAACATGTACTTTGATATATCCTTTGTAGTCTGAACTTTATTATAATCATTCGATAGCTATAATATTTTATTTATTTTCAGGGACTTCTTACCTAGAGGATCTGGCATTGTAACCAGACGACCACTTATCTTGCAGCTGATTAACAGTACAAGTGGTGAGTCATCATAGATAAATAGATTATAAAATTTTTTTATATTATGAATGTGAAATTTTCTTTCACATTAATTGTAAATTAATACTATGTTCGACATTTACTTTTATTATTCCTAACATTTAAAATGACAATGTCAAATAATTTGTTCGTTTATTATTAATATTTCATTCATAAAAATACTACATTTTATTAAGTTGTAATGATTTTGTATTTTTGGTGGGTTTTAATATTAATTATCTGTAATTGTTGTCTATAGTATTATCACATTTCCTGCAACAGTGAACTTTTGATAAGCATATGATCAAGAATATTGTCAGTTTCATTATAAAATTGACTAATTAAAAATATTTGAATAATATATTATTTTAAATTCTATATATGAAAAAGCAAAATTTTATACATCATCAATGGAATCATTTCTTTATTATAGAATATGCTGAGTTTTTACATTGTAAAGGTAAAAAGTTTGTGGATTTTGATGAAGTATGGAAGGAAATCGAAGCTGAAACTGACAGAGTTACAGGCAGTAATAAGGGTATTTCTAATATACCAATAAATTTAAGAATATATTCGCCTAATGGTAAATATATTTTTTTACTATATTTTGATATTGGTTTGTGTTAATATTTTAATTAAAATATTCATTGTTATTAGTTCTAAATTTGACATTAATTGATTTACCTGGCCTCACAAAAATACCAATTGGAGATCAACCAGCAGATATTGAAGCTCAAATTAAAGCTATGATTTTTCAATTTATCAAAAAAGAAAATTGTCTTATATTGGCAGTAACTCCAGCAAATACTGATTTAGCAAATAGTGATGCTCTCAAACTTGCTAAGGAAGTAGATCCTCAAGGTACATATTCATAAATACCCAATATTTAGTACTGTCAAATTTAAAAGGTTATTGTTTTATATTATAAACTTTTTAAGGTGTTCGTACAATTGGTGTTATTACAAAATTGGATCTTATGGATGATGGTACTGATGCAAGGGATATTTTGGAAAACAAATTACTACCCTTAAGACGTGGTTATATAGGTGTTATTAACAGAAGTCAAAAAGACATCGAAGGTCGAAAAGATATTAAAAGTGCTCTAGGAGCAGAAAGGAAATTTTTCTTAAGGTATAAATCAATAATAAAGAATAATTTTATTAATTAATATTTTCAATGAAATATTTAAAATATTTCTTTATACATTAGCCATCCATCTTACCGACACCTAGCAGACAGATTAGGAACACCATATTTGCAACGTGTTTTAAATCAACAATTAACCAATCATATCAGAGATACTTTACCAGCATTAAGAGATAGATTGCAAAAACAATTACTTGCACTGGAGAAGGATGTAGAACAATACAAACATTTTAGGCTTGATGACCCTGCCATAAAGACTAAAGCTATGTTGCAGTAAGTATTTTTTTACATATAGATTGTTATATGTGAAGTTATAATTTCTTTAATTCTAATAACTTTGATCATAATAGAAAATAAAATAAATTTACTGAAAAGAAAAATGATACATATGTAACAAATTGTATGTTAAATGTTTCATATTTTATAATACATTCTCCAATATTATTTTTCCAAATAAACATTTTTTTGCAGTTTTTTTCTTTATTAATATTATGGGTGGAGGGTCTTGGCATTTTAGAGTTCTTATTCTTATTTTTCAGATCAGTTCAAATGTTTGTGTAGGTATCATATTTTTTTTCATACGTGTGTATCATTTGCATGCAAATTTTAACACAATTTATTTTCATATAATTAACTAAAGAGTAAAAGGTGATGAAGGTTTCTATTAACATTAAAGATTTTTAGTATATTAATAAATTGTATAGAGTTTACTTAACTTTATGGTACTAACTGTAAATATCATGACTCTCTACCCATATAACTTATGTTGAAATTGAATGCTTGCTCATACATTGATTAAAAGAAAAATATTTTTAAGGATGATACAACAGCTCCAGTCAAACTTTGAAAGGATTATAGAAGGTTCAGGATCTGCACAAATCAATACAAACGAACTTAGTGGAGGTGCTAAAATAAACAGATTATTCCATGAACGTTTTCCATTTGAGATAGTTAAAATGGAATTTGATGAAAAAGAACTGAGGAAAGAAATTGCTTTTGCTATTAGGAATATTCATGGTAAATGATTGTTGATTTTGGTAGTTTTGTCATACTAATTTTATTGCGTGTATATATCGAAGATAAACACGTTCTTTTCCACGTTTAAAAATAAATTATTAACAATAGTTTAATGTCATAGGTATCAGGGTAGGTTTGTTTACGCCTGATATGGCCTTTGAGGCAATAGTCAAGAAACAAATCACTAGACTCAAAGAACCTAGTCTAAAATGCGTGGATTTAGTTGTACAGGAACTCAGTAATGTCGTACGCATTTGTACCGATAGGGTAGGTGAACTCATTCTAATTTATACAAATTGCAATGACATATATTTTATATAATTTCTATTTCATGTGTTAGATGTCACGTTACCCTAGATTGAGAGAAGAAACGGAACGTATTATAACTACCCATATTAGACAACGAGAACAGATGTGTAAGGAACAATTGGTACTCTTGGTTGATTGTGAACTTGCGTATATGAACACAAATCATGAAGATTTTATTGGTTTTGCCAAGTGAGTTACCTGCATTTTGTTATATGTTTTTGTAGCTACTCAGCAAAGTCAAAAGAGTAAATAATACGATAGAAGAGTTTAATTTTTAACAACCGCACATCTAGCGCTATGTGTTATTCCTATTACATTCATGACTGCAGCTATAGATTTTAGTGTATTTAAATCTATGAAGATTATTACCTCACATTTAAATAACAAATCCTTAAAAAAATCAAAATCATTTCAATCATTTTCATAAATATAGTAACAAATACTTTTATTAGGATTAAATTATTCATACTTCTATAGAATGTTTTAATGTGAAATAATAAGATAATTGTATTACTTACTGTACAGTGTTGACAATTAGAAATATGACATAAATATATTTTTTGTTATTAAAGATATAAAAGAATTTTTAAGACAAATCTTGAATAATATCTTTGAGAAAATAGAATTTTTTCTATTTCTTCTCTTTTTTTAATAATAACAATAATATTCATAATCATAATAACTTATATTAATTATTAGACATAACAAGGTATTTTACCTTAAAATTAAATGCATAATGTACACTTACTTTAATATTAAATGAATTAGTTAAATTATATCTTATACTAATTATTCTAATTGGAGATAAATTATAAATGAACTTATCTTTTTAAATTATGAGTAAACTTTATAATATAAGTGAAGTAATAGTTTACTTCAGTTATTGAAATAATCTCATATTCACAATAAAAGTAATAGACAAATTTAAGGTTTTTTTTTTCTACCATAATGAAACCATTAAATATTTGGAACTTTAATTATACATTTAATTTATTCTGCATCTTGAACATCTTTTGTCTTTAATAACAAATAATATAATAAAATGTTTTATTTGTAATTACTATACATGCTTAATTAATAATTTTAAACAACTTCTCTAACTTGCAGTAATGAATTCTATATTGCATGATTAATGTAAATTTAACACATACTATAGTTCACATAATGACAATGTGCTTTATTAACCAAACACAATATTTTTAAGTACTAGTTTCATTAGTTTCATTATGATTATAATTTCTGCTTTTTATAAAAGAAAAGAAAAGGATAATAAGAAAATTCACCAATTACATATACTGTTGATTATATTAATTTGCTTGCAAATTTTTTTTTGCAAATTAAAAATTATATATGTCTGATATGTATTTAACTATATATAAAACACATATCAAGGTATATAATGTTTTATACCGTATTTTCCTGCAATATTATTATATAATTTTAATCAAATATAATTCGAAATATAACAAAAACATATTTAACGTAATTTATTTCATAATATTTATTTATAATAATATTTATATGTCTTTTATAATCAGGTTTATACGGTATATTTTATAATCAGTGCATGCCTTGCCAATATCAGTTCACATTGCAAGCTTTAAACTAGCAAATACTCTTAGTTTACTTTGTTCTTTAAAGCTAAGGCACACATTTTTAGTATCATAAATAAATAGTAGAATTTACTGCTGTTTTTACTTCATGTACATTTGTATGACACATTGTGTCATATATATTGTCATATTAAATTGTATCCCACTTACATTTTTTCTCTTTGCAATATGCATACTTCTAATATTTTAATTCTCTTTCTATGTAGCAGACATAATTTTTGTTCATTTTTATATTTTGCTTATTCGACACTCCAACATCTTAAAAATTGTAATTTTTTATCATGTCGCGAGAAACAAGTTGAACAAAAAAATCAGAACTACTGGTATTTTTAGCAGCTTTAGTTTAATTTTCGTTTCATATCGGATGATGACATTCTATTTTGGTTCTTAACCCCTTAACTCATGTTATGTGAATTATAGAAAAGCATTTATGTAATAGTTTTCTTTATGTTATATGGTTTAGAATAATTGAAGTAAAGAATAAGAATACTATAATTCCTGTAAAATCTTTTATGTCATTAAAGGTAAGGCATACTTAATATAAAAAAAGTTATACATGATTATTGAATATTTTACATATTTGCATTTCTCATACTTGTTATATTAACTAACGTATGTCTTTCCTTGAATTACATGACATATACACATTTCCTGACATTTGTTTCCATTCATTGATACTTTATACTTCACAATTAAAAAAATTATTTAATTATATCGGCAGCGCGGCAGCCAGTAGCCATAATGCAAGGTAAGAATTATAAAGTACATTGGAACAAAGATTTACACTACATTTTTCTTCCTTTTCTATTATCACGCTCTTAATTTGTTATGCTTATTTTTTATTTGACTTTTTCTAGCTTTCAGTTTTATAACAAAGAACGGAATCCTTAATAAGCAATATTGAACTCATTTCCCATATAGCAAAAGATTGAAAACTATATTTTTCTAGTGTACTTTAAACTCTTTTTCTTTTGAATGAAATCAAAATCTATGATTTTTTATTATTCAGTATTCCATTACTAGTTTATTATATAACATCATACAAAATTAGTACTGTTTATACATATATGTATATGTATACACTTTTTAGATTGTAAGAATGGCACTTAAAATATAATTTCAATTAATTTACATACTGAAAGTGGGAGTGGTTTATAAAAATAAAGAAATGAACTTAACTATCATGAAACATTGTATGCCAAATTTTTATTGGCTATACTTTTTATCTAGTTTTGTACATTGTAGAATACAGCCATAATTTATCAAAATTTTAAGATTTTGATTTTAATATTTTGTATATAGTTGCACAATTGAAATGTATAATTAAATAGACCATTCATTGCCACAGTCATTCATGAATACTCCAAATCGTATATTTCATACAGCAGTATCAGATTTTAGTTTCATCATTTTTCACATGATTTCACAATATATGTAATATTTGCTTCTGCAATTCTTCATGTGTTATGATCTGCAAAAATATTACAGTGTTGACTAAGTAGAAATAATATTGTGTGTACTTACATGTTACAAATGATGTTTGACTGTATATCAAAAATATTCAACTGCGATATTTAAAGCTGTATGAAAGAGTATGTGCATGGAGTTGTTGTGGCTGTATGTTATAATTCTTAAAGAAAAATTTTTTTTTTTTTTTTTTTTTTTTTTTTTTAAAAACGTGAAAATTTTTTATTAATAAGTTATGAACCAAATATTATATCTTTTATTTATAATTTTCGGATCATCAATCGCAATTATAAATCAAAGATATGCAACCCATATAATTATCCTATTATATTGTCATTCTGTGATCACATTTCGTTTTGAATATTTTTGTATTATGAACACATTTTGAAAAATTGAATTCTTTAGTACTAGTTATAATTTATTTATGGCATAAAATTAAATTTGAACTTATGTGAACGTTTGTGTAAGTTAATATAAAAATTATTGCTAGGTTTTTATCCTGCTAGATTTTTTACACAATAAACTAACAAATTTTTGTGGCAAATTGTTACAATAAATTTTGTACATGGGTATTCAAATATCTTGTTCTATTTGACATTTCATTATAAATTATGCCTTATGTTACAGTGCACAACAATCTTCAGAAAATGCTGTTAAGTCTGGTCGTCATACTTTAGGCAATCAAGTTATACGCAAGGGGTACATGTGTATCCACAATCTTAGTATAATGAAGGGTGGATCAAGAGATTATTGGTTTGTCTTAACATCAGAGAATATTTCTTGGTATAAAGATGAAGAAGTAAATATCTTCTAACTAGAATATAACTAATATAATGTTGATTACATAAGTTTTATGTATAATTTCTTTTCTTAGGAACGCGAGAAGAAGTACATGCTACTTTTAGATGGACTGAAATTGCGTGATTTGGAACAAGGATTCATGTCCCGACGTCATTTGTTTGCTTTGTTTAATCCAGAAGGCAGAAATGTTTATAAGGATTACAAACAGCTTGAATTAAGCTGTGAAACTCAAGATGAAGTTGATTCATGGAAAGCCTCTTTCCTCAGAGCTGGTGTATACCCTGAAAAATCAACAGAACAAGCAAACGGTGAAGGAGAGGTATGTTTTTTGTTATTGTTATAAAATTAAATATATTACACATATGTACTGAATTATATTGTATGTTAGGAAATATTACGATATATTTAGGCTCAATGTACTCGAGTATCATTCGCGTTGCCAATACATCTATCTTTTTCTTTTTTTTTTTAGACACAAATAAAATAATAAATTGCCACCAGTAATTATATCATGTGTAAATTTGTTCATATAAATCTATATATTGCTCAAACGCAGTTACAATAATAACATTCGTTACTCGTGTGCATTGGTCCTTAATGATAACGTAATTTGGACCAAATTATATTACTGTATTATATAATTATCAATTCGTCATTTTGATTATTTATTTTAATTGTAGAAAAAAATTAGTTATTGTTTATTATTACATAGATGTTAATTTTATTGTATTTACTAGAAGAGATTATTTTGATTTATTTTAGGATAAACAGCGGGTGAGTTAGTACGAGAAATGTAATTAAAATTTTCGTTTGATTTTTAACTGTGTGGTGGTGTGATGCATTAGTTTGAAAACGGGTTATTATTTCATTTTTTATTTATTCTAATTAGTAGAGTTTTACGATTAAAATTGTATTTTGATATCACAGTGTTCATAATCTTTCATTTTATATTAAATATGATTAAATGGAAGAAATTGATTCTTTGCATTTTTTAAAAATATATTTAATTTAATAGCGTTTCTTTTTAATATTGATATGAATTGCATAATTTACAATACATACTCGTTATACTTTTCAAAAATTAAATTTCAATATTACATTTACGATTGTGATTAAATTTTTTTGCTTCTAATCAATTAAAGGAAGGATATGAGGTTCGTACAATTATAGAAATTTTATGGTTGTGCAAAACACATAACACTTACACAAATATAAAACACCTCCACTCAGCTCTGCTTTCTTAGTAATGAATACGATATGCTATTAAAATATGTATGAATTTTTTGCGTTAAATATTGTTTTTTTTCTACTCTTAGCTTCTTTATTTGAACATAAAATCAATAACACTTCTTAATTACCGCGATTATATATTTTTTGCATTTATTTATATTAATTATTTATAATATCTTAAATATTAAATACCTTAAATTTAAATTTTAGCATTCCAAAGTGTAATTATAAATTAATTATATTTTTCACATTTATAGGGAGGATCAGAAGCTCAGTCATCGATGGATCCTCAACTTGAACGTCAAGTGGAGACCATTAGAAATCTAGTAGATTCGTACATGAAAATTGTTACAAAAACAACTCGCGATTTAGTTCCAAAGACAATTATGCATTTGATTATTAACAATGCAAAAGATTTCATTAATGGAGAGCTGCTAGCACATCTGTATGCAAGTGGTGATCAGGTAAAATATATATGAACTAAATATTATACTTATATTATACCTAGAAATAAATGTCTAAAACTTTTCGCTCTTTCTTATTATGTCGTTAAAGAAATTTTTATTATGGATCGGATTATTTTATTACAAATTCTGCTGTATGTTTTTATTTATAGAATACTATTTCCTTTCTAAAGTTATAGTATAAATAGAATGAATTATTTATTATAAGAGTAAATATGTTAATATATGTTACAGGCTTCAATGATGGAAGAATCTCCCGAAGAAGCACAAAAACGAGAAGAAATGTTACGGATGTATCATGCTTGCAAAGAGGCGCTTCGTATTATTGGGGATGTTTCAATGGCGACGGTATCCACTCCAGTGCCACCACCGGTGAAAAATGACTGGTTAGCATCTGGCGAAAATCCAAGGTAACAATTATGTTATTATTTTCATTGCCGCTTATGCATTTAACTAATTTGGTATCTTTCAATCTTGTACTGCCTGCTTTTGCCACATACACTTGAACACCGTTGAAACAGTCTTGGGTAAGAGCTACTACATTTATTATATTAATTGAATTTCTTTCTTTTTTTTTCCTTCAAACATAATTTAAATGATAAATGTAAAGGTTCAATTTTTGTGATTTGCTTATACATTTATTTCTTTGCTTTGTATCTTGAGTAAAAACATGAAGCTTTATTGATTTTTAGTTTACAAAGTTACTTTACTGCTTACATATTTTTTGCTTTGTAAACTGTTAGAAATATCTCTCTATACTATGCTTATTTAATATAATATAAGTGATGTATATTTGAATATTTGTTTATAAAAATAGAGGATCTTCATAGAAGATAAGTTATCAAATAATCCTAAGAGAAAGTTTTTAGGAAATCAAAAAGAACATTAGCATAAAAAATACCATGGAAGGTATCCAATATTTTCTGTTTAAATTTATATGTCTTCATTTTATTCTTTTTCTAAATTGCAGATCTCAATTATGATAGCTTAACAAATAATCATACTGAAGAGAGATTTTTTTAATAATTTTACTTAAAATGAAATATAAAATATAGTTTAATATTGTAAATATTACGAGTCCTTCCTATTCGTTATTCTTAACTTAATTACTCGATATAGTTATTGGATTAACGTAATATTGAAGTTAATATTATAATTAAAATACATAAATTTCTATGAGGAATACTTTCTACATCGCAAAGATACATATAGAGATTATTGTTTAATATGCAATAATTTTGTTACAGGTTATCACCACCATCTCCTGGTGGACCAAGACGTGGAGTGACACAGCCACCACCTCTTTCTAGTTCTCGAGTTCCACCTCCGGTTCCGACGGGTGGCCGACCAGCACCGGCTATTCCTAACCGACCTGGGCCCGGTGGACCCCCGCCAGCTCGTGCTACACCTGGCCTACCTCCTCCTCTTATACCATCGTAAGTACCAAACTCTTCATCTAATTTTTATAATTTAACAAAAGTGTACTTTGTGAAGTAGTACAGAGAACATTTAAAGGGACAAATAGTTTGAAACACTCTGTACTATCAAGTATCTTTCGATTGTCGAGTTTCTCATAAATTTTGCACAACAACGTTCTGTCAGTTTGTGTTAAAGTAGTTTCGTATCTTAACAACAAAGTGGAGGTCCTCTTTATTTTTTATTCTCCTTTTTTTTTAAATTTTTTTTATAATTCTTATCGTTTTGGTTATCGTCACTGAATATCTTGAAAAAGAAATGTGCAGTCGCTTGTCCTCCATAGCTTTGTGTGATTGGGGCTTTGGTGCTAACTTCACTTTCTATTGCAGGCGCCGACAATAAGTCTTCGCACTAACTCGCCTATTCGCTACTAATTAATATACATACATATATATGTGTGTGTGTATATGTATGCATATATATATATATATGTATGTATACATATATATATATATATATATACACATATGTACATATATCGTTTGCATCTAGTCAGTGTATATTTTACACAAGATACAATTTCCTAATGCTATATGTTTTGTTTGCAAGTATTACAAATTATTATCATTAATTAGGGGTGTGTGTAAGTTGTACAAAAATAAGAACACTTGCGAACATTTATATTAGTCAGATTAAGAAGAGCTTCCAAGAACACTGACGAGCGATTTATCTTGAACTACGTATTATCCAGTATCAATAATCTTCCCAATTATTTAGCGGTCCAATTATTTCGTAAGAACGACCAAGACATTATTACCCATGTCTTTTTTTATCGTTTTGCATTTTGTTTCGAGTAATATCGTAAAGTACAGCCGCTCGTTTTCAGGATCATCAGAAGTAAATACACAATCTCGACGCAATAGTTGTGCACACCTCTAATTAAAATTCTATGTGTTTGCGATACGATTAATCGGTAATTAACGAGGGAGAATAATCCGTAGAAGTAAATCACTCTCATTCGCGACAGATGATGAGTAAAATAGATAGACCGACGTTTCTTTCATTGTAAATTAGTTCGATGGAATTGTACATGATGCCTGTATATACAACTAAATATCGTTGTTAAATAAATGATCTTGAGTTCTTATCACAGGTAGTGGATAAGTATTCGTTCGCTTACTAACAGCATGACATTTTAAACGCAAGAGTAGTCACACTCTAGTCGAATAAATTCCCAGTCATTCCTCAGAGCAATATTTGAATCGATGTGAAAAACCCGAGAGAATGCGGTATGCAAATACACGATGAGTCTTGCAATAGTGTATTACGTCTGAAAGCTTCTGATGCTCCTAACCTCACTGCTTCTTTGCCATCGTTGACTCGTCGGTAAATTCACGGGGGAAAAACCAAGGAGAGGAAAACGTTCATTTGAATATTGTCAATTATCAATTAGGGATGGACGTGTCGGTGCCTGCATTGAAAAGTCATTGTTAAACGAATTTGTCACGTAATTGGTTGTAACGCCGGTCACTTTACAGCGAGGTTATCGACCGATGGTAACATAAACGCGTCTGTCGCTTTTTTGAATCACGCGAGATTATACATACCTCTTAGGACATTCGAGGATGCACGATAATCTGTGTAAAAGTGTAGTGCATCGGAGAAATTAGCTGAGATTATAGCATATTATTAATCGAATTGTATAGTAATATACTATTGTTAAGGCATTGTAAACAAACGAGATCTATAGTAAAAGCTGAGTGTCCGTGGTGTATGTTTAGTCGTGGGGGTGGTCTTCAGCAGAGGGTGACTCAAGCTGCGACGCAGGCCGCTGCTAATGCTGCCGTGAACGAGCTGATGGATGCATTCAAGATCAAGTAAATAGACTCTTGCTGTCTCATAACTATCCTTTTATATGCGAGATGTGTTGCCCCTTTTTAACCACGATACAATTATTATGGGTACTCTTGTTTAAGTTGCGCTACGTAGATTGGTAGACTGTTCAGGGTTGAGAATGAACACACTAATTCAATATCTCACTGATTTTTGATGGCGTGTCTCGATAACGATTTTTTTGCGCGCTATAACCAGCTATGTCCTTCCTTTTTTTTATCTTCTTTGCTCTCTCTCTCTCTCTCTCTCTCTCTCTCTCTCTCTCTCTCTTGCATGATCCGAGAAATTGGATTAACAGCGATGATGTTGCCTTCGACATTATGTATTCGTATTCGACATACATTCACGCGAGATATAGATATACATATATAAATATATACATATTTAAAAAAGAACAAAAAAAAAAGAACTTATATATGGAGAAACGGGCGTCACAGTTGTAACACGTTGTAGGAGACTATGTGCGCGGTAGGAGAGTACCTCTGTATATTTGTAAGACGTGTAATTCGCTTCGTTACATTCCATATGTATATTATTCTTACCTCGTAAAGTAGCTTACTGTTAAAAGAAAATAAATGTGCTTTCATGAACTGTAGAGTAACGACGTGTATTGTGTAATCCCCGAAAAGAAAATGAAACTGTTCGTTCTGACAGTGTGATAGGTTATGAAAAAGGAGAAAAAATCTTCCAAATCCGACGCCGTATATAATTTCTCGTTGTTTCGCTTCTCATGCTGATAATCGGGTACGGAATACTCGTATGCACCATCTTCTTGTTCATAGATACTTAAAAAAAAGAAAGAAAAAAGGAAAAAAAAAAATAGGAAAAAAGGAGTACGCTTTCTTTAGATCAGTATACTTGTATCTCCAGTGAGTCTGTATCCTGGAAAGTCTACCAGAACCCTACAATGTGATCAAAGGTAGTTTCGATTAGGCAAAATTCCATTAAACGGGGACGTGCGATGTTGCGCTATGCTCATTGATTATGTCAAAATTCATTCTCGGAGTTTGCATATCATAGGGGGAACGAAATGTCATGCTGTTGGGCAGAAAATTATCAAGTATTGTTGTTAAATGTTCGTTTTGTCATATTTCATCGATGGATTTTCAATCGGCAACAACTGCGTTATACCGAATAACTTTTAAGTATCGTAATTATTAATTGCGCGATGCAAGTACAGCCACACATACAGATACACATACACACTGTTTCTCTACCTCTTAAGATGTCACTACACTTTGTTCCATTATTAGCCATTAATATTAAAGATATCTTATATATATACGTACATAGCTAATCCTTAATGAAATATTAATTACAAAAAAAAAAGGACGTGCTCAGACATAGGATGTGATATAGCGTAGAGTGCTTCAAGGATTTTGCATGAAAATCCTGAGTCGCGACCCTCTCTCTCTCTCTGACTAGTACTAAAACAAGAAAGAAAAGAAACTTGACACTAATAATACCGGATCAGAATAATATATTATATATACATATAATAGTAATCATATATCGTTACAATGTATAATGAATGTATATTACTCAGCGAGAGTTCAGGAGCTGCGTTATATTTCGAAAAGGTATTTGTTGTTTCCTATGCTCCTTGACCGTGCTTGGTAAACTGAATTAATTGTACATATATAAAGAAAAGGAATATGATATACTTTACCACGTTATTGTAATTAAACGAATCCACGAGGTGCGATGTGCTTTCTATTATTCGCATAGTACGCGTGCTCGATGATCAAAGATATTCCTCATTGTACGATATTCGTAATATATATATACATATATATACACACATATATATATATAATATAATTTTGTATAAGATTATACGAGAAGAAAACTTTCGTCGAAACGGATCGTTCGGTACCTAACCTAAAAATGTTCTAGTATCGACGACTGGAAGGATAATTAGTATGAAGATTAAGAATCGTATTATTTTTTTTATCAAATGTTTGTGTACATACTTCTTTCTTATTTTACGTAAGTTCCTTAATCATTCGCTTCTTTCTTGTTTACGAGTTACAGAAATAACACAAGTTCTGTCATCGATATTATCGTAATTATTGCAAAATTCCGACGCATTTTGGGACAAACGTTATCGTATCTTGTATATATTTATTCGATAGGGTACAAATCGAATTCTGCTCCGTTTCAACTTACGTTTTCCTATAGATACATAAATTTATGGATAAATAATATTCGACGAGCACACGAACGTATTATTGCAAAAGCAGTGTTAACGCGAGAAGCATGTTCTTTTTCGTATCTCTCTGACCAGTGACACGTGGAACATCGAGGACAATGAATGAGCTATAGAAGAAGAGAAAAAAAATATTTTTCATTATAGCAAAATCCCTTTGGATAGGTAACGATTTTAGAGAAACGTCGATACGATCGATTTGTATTTCCCGCGTCACTGTGTTCACGTGTCCATTTCGATCGATCGAATCAGAAGCGACCGAATCTCGATACGCGTATAATTCAGAATTCAGTGAACGCATTGGTAACTCGTTCGATTCGATATTAAAGGGGCCTAACGATATTCAGTCACGTCGTTCCAGTATATAGAGATGTATTTATTTACGCCAAATTAAAAGTCACGACTTCCTCTTCCAAGACTGTAACGACTGCGAGTACTGATTAATATTTTGCTCTAAGGAAAATACTTTTTCGAAAACAAGGTAACACGAGAAGAATTTACATTCTTAGTGGAAGCACGTCGCACTCGCAAATTTAATTATCTATTGTTTATCGACACAGGACACGAATAATTTTTAATCCGTAATTTAGATTATTCGCTGGGTACTAACAGGTAATTAATTATACTGTAAACGTTGTTCTTGGATAAAGAAATGGAATAAATTACGTAAATAGATCGTATGTTGAGATTGCAGAGGTGATTGTGATTACGATATTAAAATTATAATTATTATAATTAATATTATGATTAACAACGTCATTATATTGTATACTGTATAAGGTAAAAAAGATAATGTTATTCGTTTCGGTAGTATGTCACGTTTCGTGTTCCGTAGATTGTGAAACTTTTTATTTTCGTAACGTTATATACTTTAGCGTCGTTCCTTCTTAAAACAAATCGTGATTACGAGTATTAAGAAGGCAATAGAGATATAAGTAGATGAGCCTCGTATAGGGTATAGAGTTTCAATAACACTGGGCATATCAAACAGTAGAATGCAGTAGAATGCAGAGAAAAATTGTTTTTGAGTATGCCCAGGTTTTCTGATGTTCGTGAACAGTATTCTGAGGGTTCCACCCTTCGAAAGCAATTACATTCCAATTTTTTTACATTACTTCTTTTTCTCATACGACTGTAAAAATTATATATATACATATATATATACCCATTTTGTCAAGAGATTTTGGTATGAACATGTAGATGACTTTTGAAGGCTTGTTTACAAGTGAAACAAGTACATTTGTGGTACGTGAAAGAACATTTTCTATTTTCTTTTCCTTTTAATAGAAAAATCATTTTGATCGTTAATGGTAGTCTCTGACTGGGTGGAATCTTTGTTTCAAGTGTTACAACGAAAGACGATAAGCGCAGAAATTATCATTGGTAAATCGTGAAATTTCTCAAAGAAGCTTCACGATCTCTCATTTGATATTTCTTCGCATTCGTACCGTCAATTAAACGATTAATAAATTTTTTCGTTTAAAGAAAGGAAGGAAGGAGAAATCTTCGTACCCTTTAAGTTACACTTTATACTGTACGATCGATGATGATACACATATTGCGTATCGAGCCTAATAAGAGGTCCTCGAGAACGAACCCTCGGCTTTTATGACTGTATCCAGGGAAAGATTTTTTTTGCTGACACTGTTAAGATACCGATAATGAATGCAAGAAAACGAGGAAGTCATTCATATTGTGAACATAGAACAATATTCTTGCCGTACCTAACATTTAATCGTCCAATCGAGAGACGAATCTGAACGTATCCACTATGAAATATTTAATTAACCCGATACCTTTTGAGGTGTGAATTTTGCAATCTAGTAATCGCATAGTCCACGGTTCACCTAGTAAGATTTGTCTGAATTAAAGATTCTGTTCCTTCGCCGTATCTATGTTCCGAGTTTTTAATGTCCCCCTGACTCGACACAAATACGTTCAGATCGTCCCACGAACCAGAGAGAGGAAGAGAAGAGAAGAAATCGCGCACGGAAATACACGAGAGAGAGTAGCTGGATGAACGAGGTTCCATGACTGTGACACGCATCCTATTCACGCGACAGATTATTGTTATACATGCTTCCATCTAAAGCCTTAAATATAGCGAAGTTCTAGTAAACACGAAGCTTACATTGTGTAAGACGAAGCATCGAGTAATAAGCGTGATTCTGTTGTACATCGCGGGCCGAGTGTAAACGTATATACAACTGCACGTAATAAGAGCGCGAGAACGACGGAGGAATGATAGACGAGCGATAGGGGTGAACGTGTAATTAATAAAAATTGATGGAAACGCGACTCGCGAATGGATTCGTCGCTGACGTTATTTTCACGTGGTTAAGATATTTAGATCGACATCGCGACGAATCGTAGATAATAGAAGCTCTAAGTAACCCCACGGTGTTAAATGGACATACCCTTGATAAAAATCATTCGTAAATTCAAAAAGAAAGTGTCCAATGTTTCCTGAGAAAATGTAAACAGAGCTTTCCGCTAGTATTTAGCGTGTTAGCGGATTCGTCATAATTTTTATACCTGTTATACCCTTGATTTTGATAGGAACGTTTTTTTCTACGCTTCACCGCCAGAGGTAGCGGCGGTCGTTGAACTCGATCGTCGACAGTTAGTCCTCGAACGTCTGTCATGGAGAGCGTTTCGTAAGTGAGACAAAGGAAACGCTGGCGGGGTTACTTAGTGAATTATTCCGTATGGATTGTGCACTTCACACGATTCACGATGTTGAAATATTGCGCAACGGGCGCGTGATATATGCAT